ATTGAGTGAGCTGATTATTGTCTATGTAGTGAGATTACTCATTTTCTGATAGGCAGTAATGGCAGAAAACACAAGTCCAGAGCCTATCACTGTGACTTGTGAGGTTTGTTCAGAGTATTACACTGAGCCCCTCATGCTTCCCTGTCTTCACTCATTCTGTAAGAAGTGTCTAATAAAAGCTAAAGAGAAGCAATGTAGTGCTGATGCCTCATTGAAGTGTCCAACGTGTGACACTAGCGTTAATTTACCTGATGGTAAAATTGAAGGCCTCACTCAAAACCTTTGGTTTGAACATAAATCAAAAGAGGCTTCGATCTAAAAGAAGATTGTTAGTAAAGAAGCAATATCGTGCGATAAATGTAGCGTTGATGATTCCAGTGATGCAGCTGTTGTGTATTGCTGTGATTGTGGCCAGTTTCTGTGTGATCTTTGCAAGAAAGTTCATAAGCGAAGCAAGAAAGAAGCCAACCATGAGCTGGTTGATCTAGGCATAAAAGAATCTTTCGAATTGCCTGTTATCAAGCACAATGAAAAATGCTGCCCACGACACCCAAGAGAAGAGCTACTGTATTATTGCAAAGATTGCGAAAAATTAGTTTGTCGTAATTGCCTCCCTATTAAGCATAAAGATCATGATTGCGTTGAGCACATTGATGAAGGTGAAGCAGCACGTAAAGCATTAAAGGAAAGTGTTGCTAGTTGTGATGGAGTCATTCCTCTAGTCACTGAAGCTATTGCTAATGGAGAGAAGATGCTAGAGCAGATAGCAACACATAAAGAAGAAGTAAGCAAGGAAATCAAGGAAACATTTGAAGAGCTTAAAGCTGTTTTAGATAAGAGATGCAATAATCTACTAATGGAGACAGAAGAGATTGCTAGTGCTAAGATGAATTCTATCAAGAAGCAGTTGGATGGGTTTTGTAAACTGGTAAAACATGTTTCTCATGGTCGTCATTTTGCATCATCAGTAAGTGAGCGTACTGATCCAGGTGAAGTTCTCAGTGTTAAGAAGCTAATCACCAATCAACTAGAGGAATGCATTGAAGAGTGTAAGAAACTACCTCTAGAAATAGAAGACAAAGGAGCCATTTTAACATGTCTAGATACACCTACTTTAAGTAAAGAAATCAATGAGTTTGGAAGTGTCTCTGAGGTAGATATAGCTGCATACTCCATTGATAGTGGGTTAGCTATTCCATTGGCAACAGTAAAGAAAGAAAGGAAATTCAAAGTGGCTCTACCAGCAGGCATTGATAAAGCAGCAAGCTATTTGAAGCCTTCATTTATCAAAAGTGATGGTAGTAAAGAGGAGGGTAGAGTTGTTATAGTTAATGATAACAACACAGCCATTGTATCATGCACACCTCAAAGTATTGGTGGATATGAACTATCAGTGACTATAAGAGGTCACCATATTAAAGGTAGTCCTTATCAACTGTCAGTAAAAGCATCGAGAGACTATACCACACTAACTAACCAGAGATCCTTTAATGTGGGGAATAATACTTATGGTGTTGCTGTTCATACTAATGGTGAAGTATTTGCTAGTAGCATGGGTGGGTTTGTTCAGGTATTTAGTGAGGATGGTACAGCAGTAAGAAGGATTGGATCTAAAGGTAATGGTGATGGAGAGTTTGGATGTCCTTGGGGTTTATTGCTGGTAGGAGACAGGCTCTATGTGTCTGATAATAATCTTAGTTGTGTGCAGTATTTTTCAGCTACTACTGGTCAGTATATTGATCAGTTTGGTAGTTATGGTAACAAAAATAGAGAATTTTCTCGTCCTCTTGGTATGTCTACTGATGGTAAAGGTAATATATTCGTAGCTGATTTCAACAACAAAAGAGTACAAGTGTTTAAAGAAAATAGTACATTTGTACAACCCATACAATGTGATGGTACTGCATCTGATGTAGCAGTTGATAATGAAGGAAAGATACACTTTACCATTAGTGATCAAAATCATGTTCAAGTCTTCTCTCCTGATGGTAAAACTCATCTTGATACATACAATGATCCAGCTGGTAACTTTAATTATCCTGATGGTATTGCTATTGATGATGAAGGATATATCTTTGTATCAACTAACAATGGCTATATTCATGTATTGAGTCCTGACAGGAAACAAGTCAAATTAATCTCAGGATTATCTGCTCCATGGGGTGGAGCACTGGATAAGGATGGATATATCTATGTAGCCGAATATAACAACAGTCGTATAGTAAAATATTAAAGTAGTCGTTTAATAACACTGAATAAACACTTACACTAGAAAAATAATCTTACAATTTTTAGCATGAAATGAACTCTTGTCACTCCCTATCTCTTTTCCCTTCAATCTCTTATACACACTCTCTCTCCTCTCTACTTTAAGTTATTATTAGATTCAAAAATTTTGAAAATACAGGAAAATTAGAGAAAATCACAATAATTTATCATCATGATTACACTATTACATACACATGTTTCTAGTGTACACTATAATACATTATACATATGTTTTATACATCATAGTTAGATCACTAGATGAATCAGCACCTGATGATAAACTGGGTCTACTCTCTCTTCCATTTCTATTTGAATTTAAACTAGTTGTTTTAATATAATCACGTCAATATGCCACTGCTAATGACTGACGTCTTGACACAATATTAACCAGTGTTGCTGGTACTCTTCCCATATCAACCTATTCAATGTACCTCATGTTTGACTCCACCCACAACCACACCCACCTGTACAAGATACATGAGTTCTGTGAGTAGTTTTTCTTTATAGCGATAAGGTTCGATGACCCACCCACTTGTCATGACCTAGTAATGTAGGGTCTTTAATCATCAGTTCACAATAATGGAGGTTACTCTCTCCAAATCTTAGCTTTAATAACTCAAGGTTCCATAGCCATTGAAGTTACGAGAAATAGAAAAAAGAAATTAGTAAAAGAGAGATAATTATTACCATATAGCTGAAAAGTTTCGTGGCCAAAAACTTTCGTGGTTTTCGTGGTTTAGAAGGACACCACGAAATTAAAAACCACAAATAATTTTAATTATTATCGAAAGGGTGTGGTATTATAGCAAATTAATGAGAGGTGTGGCTGCTTCAATGATGATCCACGAAAATAAAAACCATGAATAGGCCAGGAACCTCCGAACCACAAAAGTTTTTTGCCACGAAACTTTCCGGCTATATGGTATGAGCATTGATAATATTGTTGGGGTATTACTTCTCTTGTAACATCATAGTCAACTGATAGTAATAATACTCATTCACGAATAGATCCTGACCACCATAGATGTGAACCAATGAGCTAAAAATAGAAATACATGTACAGTAACTGTGTGGAGCTCATAATTCAGTAATCTGTTATCAGAATCACCTCAAACTTGCTACGCAGCATAAGGACACCAATGTGTATCAGAAAATGTATTAAAAATTGGGGGTAGTTTTTTGGCCATTTTTCAGGAAAAAGCATGGGCTATAGTACAGGGTATTTTTCAGAATTTGGCAATTTTCTTAAAATGGTCGTAAATTCAAAAATTTAAGTCAGAATCAGCTCAAACTTTCTACATAGCATAAGGACATCAATATGTATAAGAAAATGGGGGTAATTTTTTGGCCATTTTTCAGAAAAAAACTATGGGCTACAGCCTTGGGTATTTTTTCAGATTTTGGCAAATTTCTTAAAATGGACCTAACTTTAAAAATTTGAGTTTGAATCGGCTCAAACTTTCTACATAGCACAAGGACATTAATATGTATCAAAAATTTGAGACGACTTTTAAACCATTTTTTGGAAAAAGCATACACCATAGTACATGCTTTTTTCATCTATTTATGAATGATACAGAACATTAATATTCTCTTCCTCTTACATCATTATATCTGAAGTTTGCCGACTTTTTGACAACTTCACTATTCAAACACAATCATAATAATAAAAATAATAATAATAATTGATTCTATTTTATTATTAATTTCTTTTTCTTTGTCTCTCTTTTCTTGTCCAGTGTTTTCTTCGTTTTGTTTTGTTCACTTCCCTGCTGTTGTTGCTTTTGTTTAATGATAATAATAATAATAATAATAATAATAATAATAATAATAATAAATATATTCTTACTAGGGTCGGCATCTACTGGATCTGGTTCCCAAGCCTCAAAGTCCTGATCAGGATCATCATACTCATCAGAAAGATCAAGCAACACAGTCTCACCTTTCACCAGCTCCTACAGCACAAGTCATGTGACCATCACATGACCAAATACATGTACATGTACCACCGAAAGGTCGTTGTTACTATCATCAATCAAACTGGCAATAATCATGTCACTGTATCACTTCGAGTCCTGTGATTATAAAAGGTATAAAAG